TCCGGAAAGAGGTCTTGGTATTAGTTTCACCTTCGGGTACAGTGTTTTTACATTTCCACGTGCCATATCAATCCCCAAAGTGCCATTTGAATGGCATTGAGGTGCGAATCATGAAGGGTGCACGGAAAGCAACTATGTGCTTGTATGAAAGGTTTTGGCGGAAATGGTTTTAATTGCTAGAAAGAGCTTACGCAGACCATGAATGTGCCTTCGCTTTCGCGAGACAGGACATCTTCTGCGACAATGAAGGCAACTAAGGAGCTGACAGAAAGCGTGTTTCTGCATCAGGCACGAACGAAAAACTGTGTCATGAGTCATGAGTTCTTCCGCGCAAAGCTAGCAACCTCAAACCTTCTGCTATCCGTCTGCCGTCTGGTTTTCTTCTTGCCTTCGTCTCTTCGTCCGCTATATCATTTGTTGCAGTCTCGTGCAGCTTTCTTTGAAGGTGTTTGGTTTCATATCTCAACTTGTTTGCTCGCCCTCGCCGGTGCCGCTACTTCTGATGAAGCGCAGCACCTCAGAGTCCTTCAGGATGCCGACCTGCCCTGGAGGCCCTAGAGGCCCTAGATGGCGTTGTGTCAGCACGGAAGCTACATTCTAGACTGAGTTGTTCCCATGTAGCGTCAAGTTCTGAAACACTTGAATCTCTAGTCAGAAGCCCTACTTGATCTCCAGTTTCGCGCAGCATTGGCCGCAGTAGCAGTCTCAGCACAGCTGGCGACTGCAAAGTCTTAGTTTATGTCAGTTACTCCATGACAGCCTTGGTGTGTCTGAGGTTGGTTCGCCTCTGTACAAAACCCTGAGTGAGAACGCAAAGAAGCTGCACATCGAGGACTGTTTAGGGTCAGGGTTCTTGCAGATTCAGTCTTTAGTTCGCATGTGCATGCTCGGACCGCTTTCATGAATGCCACTACGAGCAGCAGCTGGCCAGGAGATGTTTCAACAGTGGACCTTCACCCCCAAGCAGGCCGGCAGTGCTGGCAGCCAAGCCCATCAGTGCCCTGCCCAGGGGTATTCAAGCATGGACACATACCATCCCATTTGTACCCCTGTTTTTGCGGGTTGTTCAAGCATGTGCAGCTGGCTGGGCAAGGTCAAGGGCCCAGCACAACACGCTTAATTAGTCCTTGTCCAAACCCGCAGAGTCCACACGCTGGATGAGCGCAGGCCCTTCTTGCGCATGCTGCAGCCTTGAACTACGAGTGTGGCCCGTCAACAGACTGGGCGATGTTGTTGAGGGATGGCAGCAGACACGGCTTCACCCCAGTGTGTCAACAGTACGGGGTTCCAAGGTGAACTGTAAGAGGATTAGATGGGTGAGTGCCCGCGGCGCACGCTTGCAGCGGCCCAGACCATGGTTTTTCTGTTCGAGGCCTGCTTGCAATTGGCCAACAACGCTCTCTCGCCTTGTTGCGGGCGTGGTTGCCCTCGCTGTCCTCGAAACTGTCATAGCTTTCGAAACTGTCGTCGCTTTTGGGTGTTTGGGATCAGTAAAACGCGAAGAAGCTGTCGTTGAGTGGGGGCTGCTTTCGGGCTACTGTAGGGCATCTTTAGGGCTTTTCGGGGTCTTGGGGCTTTCTGTTCTCTGTTTCGATTTTGGGCCCACAGGTTGTACTGCAGACGATAGGTGGTCTTGCAGTCGGCATAAAGATCAGGGGAGGCAGGGAGCCGCGGTTTCGAATAACAGTCTACCCCCCCACCCAGCCTCTGCACCCGCACTGCACCCCTCCTGTCCTCCCCATTCTGCATCTTGAATCTAAAGTAGGAGTTGTTAAAAGCTTGCGTCCCGCTCTCAACTGTGGCTGAGTCCTTGCTCTCACAACTGCATGTTGTAGCCAGTTGGGGGGTGTATTCTTTAGGCAGGTAATCTGAGCAATCCTAAGCCGATTCTAAACTCCCAAACCTCAAACCTTGGAAAATTCCCAAATCAGGCAAAGTCTAGAAAACTGAAAGCTTCCTCTGCCAGCACTTACTATCACAAAGACATATGCACGCAATTAAGCACCATTGCATGGCCATCGTCATGTCGTCTTTACACTTCCTTCCCTTTTTTAAGCGCCACGCCTTGAATCCGACAGGCCCTTTGGTTTAGGTTTTTTTTTGGGGTGCTCCCAAGGCTTGCTTGTGGCGTCGCGGGCTCAGTAGCTGATTGTCTTGGGCAACCGAATTCCAGAAGGCCTGCTTTCAATATCCAAATGGACGTTCTCCTCAGCTCTCATTCGAGTCAAAGTTCTCAGTATTCTCAGTGCTCAGTGCAGATCCTAGGATGCCCTAGGTTAGGTTAGAATACGCATCAGAAGCTTGGAGCTTAGTCCCCCTCCCTTGGGTTTCACTATTTGCACTAGAGCCTTAGCGCTTCCCAGGAAGAAAGCGTAACGGAGTTACTGGAAACTTTGCCTCTGCATAGTCTGGTCTTGTACAGGAGAACATCAACCTGGATTGGTTTGGACTGGAGCTCTTTCTCGTGTTGCTGTTGCAAGGTCTTGCGGTTGGGGGCAGGGATCCAACGGGATCATAGACACAACCTTAGCTTGTTGAACCTGTTGGACACTGTTTAGGGTTTTGGGTTCTGTTGACTCCTAAGCTCCGCCAGCTTCAACAGGTGCCTGACGTACTGCATGTGGATGCTCCGGACAGAGCAGAAGAAGGCCGAGCTTGTCTTTGATGGGGGTGGTCTGGGATGCCTGGGGTTCTCAACGAAAGCTGCCCATCAAGCCCTGAGCCTTCTGCGACTTTTGCGATGTTTGCGATTCCAACCCTCTTCAAGTCAAAAGGTCATATGACACTTTGAGGAACGTTACCCAAAAAGAGCTGCTGCACGTGACATAGGCTCTCGTGACGACGCCCGGAGTCGACTCCGGATGCTGGGCTCAACATTGCAAAGAAGGGCTTGGGTGTGGCTCAGGTCCCCTGTTCCTCCGCAGAGGCTGATTGGTCAATACAGGTCATCTTGTTGACTGGCCCGTATTGTTTGAGAATTCACACTTGGTAGCGGGGTTCCGTCTTGATCCAGCAGAGTGGGGGAACGGAGTTTGGAACAAACTAGCGACCCTTACTTACCCAAAAAGTTGGGCACGGCATGAACCTCCTGGTCGTGTTGCTGAGCTTTCCTCCTGCCTCCTCCCTCCCCGCGACGCAAGTTTGCCCCGCGGGCGATAACACCGGGCAGAGATGCAACATTTGCTTGGTGACGAGAGCTCTTGGATTCAGAGGAGGATGGAGGGATTTCTTACGGCCAGGCACAACGGCACCCATCTTTGATTTGCATCCACTTGTTGCTGGCCGATCTTGCCGGCCGACGGACTCGAGGGGGGAGCTTTTCAGAATTGCCACCTTCACGCGTACGACAGCGCAAAGAATGGTCCCCAACTGTGGTTGCTCATCGTGCACGCAAGTCGTTGACGTAGGATAATCCCAGTAGCCCAATGCACGCGGGTCAGATTGTCCATACACTTCCCTGGCTCGCCGCTTTCCCCAAAGGTCCTGTTTTTTTCCTTACGTTGTGTACGCTTTCTTGTGTGCACATGGGTCGGGCTGCCACCTTCAATTCGAATTGAGGTGGACATGTGGGCCACATCATCCTCGCATCATTCTGTTTGCAAACAGGCCTCAGGAATTTTTCCTCAACTGTACATGCCTGAATCATCCTAAGGCGTTGTGCAGCATCGATGCACCCCAAACCTTGAAGCTTCATCCACATCCAAGTTGCACGAGCTCGAGAAGTTTCCCATGACGGATACCAGAAGCTGCTGGAAGCATGAGCTTAAGATCCGCTGAGGTTGCAGAGGAAGTCCAGGGGTGGGGGGATGGTTTCGGGCTGAAAGACAGTTGCGTTGTTACACTTGCGTATTGGTCGAGACAACAGGTAGGTTTGTACAAAGTGCACCGGAGATCGGAGAACTTTGTGGCGCAGAGGCTTGCCGAAATTCTCGGTTCTTGAAGCCGACTGCCGCTATGAAATCACGTGATCTTTCAAGCTGTAGGACTGTAGGCTGTAGGGCTAGGATGAGAGGACTTTGGGGCCTCGGATGGGGCTTTGGGGTCGGGGAGCCTTTGAGATTTTCTAGTACGACGTAAGAAATGGGGCTTGTGAACCCGAAACCCCAAACAGTTTCCGGGGTTGTTGTTGAAGGTGTGTGCCACTTCCCGACCCCTGCTCCCCGGGATGTAGATATGGCTTTTGACGATGGATCTAGCAATGATGAGAGCTGGGTGGCGGGGGAAAGAGTGAAGCTGGCTTGTATAGAGTATAGGGTTAAGCAAGAGTGCTTCTGCAAGGTAAACACAGCACTGGTTCACCCAAAGCGTGTTGGTTGCCTGCTCGCATCCTTATTTTCGAGGAGAGCCATGAGGATCGTACTTGCATTGGTGGTGGGCATTGGCGTTTTTCGTTGGCAGGAGTCTGACCATGGCTGGATGACTATATCCAAATCATGCTCCCTTGTCCGCTCGCTTGCGATCTTCAGCAAACCCTACCAATCCTGTGGAGTTCTGCTACTTCGGCTGTGTGGGAATCGTAGCAGGCTTGGGGTTTGGGGAGCTTGGCTTTTGGGGTTTGGGCTTTGTGGCACTAGGGTTTTCTTGGGCTTCTGTAAGGGCGCCAAGGCTCGAACGTTCTTTATTCTTTGCTATTCGGGCCAGCGGCCAGCAAGGTTTTCGATCTCAATGGCCGCGGAGCTCTCAAAACCATAAAGGCGAAATGCCATACATGTAAGTTCCGTGATTCAGGCCTGAATCCAACAAACTAACCGGACACCCTTCCGTACCCTTCATCCCTGAGACTTAAACGACATACGCCGCTTGAACCTGGAAGCGAACCTTCAATCCCAGAAGAACTATAGAAGTCGTGAGTGCCTAAATACCACACAGAGATTGGGCTGCAGGTTTGAACATGACAAATTCAGGTTTGAGGGGTTCGCCTTCTCAAAGATTTAAAAGTGTAAATCTCTGGTTAGGCTCCTCGAAGCCCCCAAAGTTTCATGAAGGGTCCAGCCGGCGCCATGGCTGAAGACCCCAATGACTTGGTGGAACTGCTCCCGTGCGAGTTCACTCGGCAGGTGGTTGTGTGGCCATTATGTAGAACCTCTACCCTCCGTCCGCGTCCAGGAAGTTGGTTAGAGGTTACAGGTTGGAGGGTACTCCGCCCATCAGGTAGTTCCTCGCAGGAATGACAGAAGTTACGGTTCAAGAATCTGCCCGGCACTTTTATTGGGGGTTAGAAGTGTACGCCTAACTAGCCCCTACCCGTCGTTCGTCAAAAACCTGTTTGGGCCCGTCAGCAAGCTCCTGGGGTTGGGGGTTAGTCCCACCCCTCGTCAGCAACCCCTGAACAGGTTAACTAGTTGGGGAGGTTAGTCGGCTGGTTGGAGGGTTTATATATCTATCAACCCTTCATGTTGCAGGAAAACTTAATGTCATTCTCCCCAAGTTTATCTCCAAAGGTGGAGCTTGCAGCGTTCCACTGCACAATGGTGCCGAAGGACAAGGGAGGGTTGGGAGTTCTGGGTCATTATGGGGACTGAGGTGGCACAGCATGGGTACTTCTAAATGCTCGTGTCTCGTAGTTGCAGACATTTTTCTGTTGAATACCGAAACCCGGACTGAACTTCGACATCCTCAAACCTGGATCCATGCATAGAGACGGGCGAGAGGTAAAGAATACATGAATAGTTAATAAGCATATCCCGTGTTTTCTATTTTTCAATCTGGTTATTTCTTGCATTCGTGAATTCTTTGTACTTTGTCTCTGTGGTTCATTAGCCTAGCTCTTTGTATTATTTCACCTCGCTTTTTCTTTATCTATTTAGATTTCCAAGGTTCTTTCTGCCTTTGCGTCTTTATCTTCGTCTCTGTATTCCTGTCGCATTTTATCTGTCTTTCTCATTGTTCAATTCGTTCCCTCGTTCCCTCTTTGTAAACCCCTGAGAAAATCGTCCAAGCGAGTTCTTGCATTTTCGGGAAATAGCAACGGCTCATCAGTTTGAAGCGCCAAAGCCTTTTTTCGACAGGTTCGCATCGTTGCCGACCTCGCTGGAATCCATTTCGCCCCAAAAGTAGGCGTTCTTGATAGACTTGCAAAAGACGTGCAAAAGTCTCAAATCAGAAATAAAGATAGAGAATGTTAGAAAGAAGAAGAAACCCCCAAGGCCAGAAATAAGAGCGACAAGAAAAGCAATGAGATGGACAAGGTTGGAAATTAGATGGACAAGGTTTGAAAGAAGATGGACAAGGCCCGAAAGAAGATGTTATAGCAAGGTTAGAAAACAACAACATGGTGAACAAATGGATAACCCCCAAAGAAGCCCGCCCCCGAAAATCCCGCAAAGAGTCCCGCCGAGCATCCTGGAAATGCCTACCCCCCAGAGAAGTCTGCAACCGGTCCCACCGGCCCCAGAGAAGCCTGCCAAGTATCCCTGGATTGAAATCCCCGAGACTTCGCGGAGAGTCCCGTGACAGATGCCTGCAGGGACGGTGTGCTTAAACACCTGTACGATGAAGTAGATACATTTTTTTCCGGTGCTCTTTTGTTTGTTCTTGTTTTTTCTTTCCTTGTTCCATTCACAGCATTTGGAGGAGCCCATATGCTGCTAGACCTGTTGAGCCTATGAGCTGTCAGAAATTCTGTGCTTCAGCAGACAAGAAAATAATTGTAAACGCTTGCGCGCGCCGCCTCGGCAGCCGTGCCGGCCCAGAGCATGCAGTATGTGGAGATGACGCCTGGAGGCGCCCTCTAGGGGAGTCCCGTCCCACAGGGGCGTCCCAGTGGGAAGGGTTGGTTGGGGGAGCAGGCGCAAAATACGCTTATTGGCAGGGAGAAGAGGGGGTTTTTTGAAGGTTCCAAAAGTGGGGGTGGGGGAAGGGGGGAGGGGGGGGGGGGGGGGGGTCGAGGAGGGTCCCGCCTCTACGGCATCGGTTGGCAGCTGCTCCAAGGGATCGGGGGTCTGGAGGGAAGGGTTGGGTTGGGGGGGAAGGAATGGGAAGGAGACCGGAGGTCTGCTTGTTCCAGACGCTTCTCGGCAGGAAGCCGAGGCGAATTTGCAGCATTTGGAGCCAGGGCATGCTGCAATGTGGGGAGATGTGGGGAGCCTTTAGCTTCTTGGATCCTTCCCAGCAAAACGTGCAGTATCGTGCAGTGACAAGTAAGAGGCGGAGGCAGGTTTTGAGAGGTTGACGGTATGGAAGGTATGCCAATGACAGCTACAATTGCTTGCCAAGCGGAAACAAAGCCCGCAGTTCCGAATCTTATACCCTGAACATCCTCAGACTTTTAAACCATCAATCCCAGAGCTCCACGTTGGCAACGGCGCGATCCGAAATCTCCGAAAGACTTGGCCGGAGTGGCCAGCAGGTCCTGTGTGGAGAGCTTCTGAAGCTGCTCCCTGGCCTTGCTTGGGGTTGGGTGCTTGAAGGTGGCTGATCTATAACAGTACTCGCAGGCCTACCTTTCTTCAGCTCAGTGGGGCTCTTTGTTTATTCTGATCACTCCGACCCTAAAGCTGAGCAACGTGTGAGCCGTCCTGCCCCTTTCGGGCAGGAAGATACTTCGTCGCAGGGTTCTTCTCCTCATTTTGTTGTGAGGGGAGCCCAATCTTTGGGCGCAAAGGATGTGACGGGCCACAGTGCATACCTGTCTCGGGTGTTCACAGGGCATACTTTGAATACATGTCAAGCAGGATCGGACTGTCACCAGGCCACACAAAGGGCACTCCCACGGTCCAGCATCTGAAAATCCGCCCCCCGAAAAGTGCTTGCAGGTAGGAACAATTGCTTCCACCGCTTCAGCGCTCTCCTTGGTAGCTAGTGGAGTCGATGAAGGGTTGGCCGTTACTTAACCTAAGCCCAACCTCATCACCGAGTCCTTAGTACTTGAACGGTTTCAATGTTCAAAGTCCCCTTTTTAGGCTCCAGAGCCGGCCTCTTGCCGCAGACTCTCGGCCGTAGTTGGAGAGGGTTGAGGGGCACTTTGAACAGGGTTAAAGTTTTTAGTTTAGGTGTTGCTGGTCAGATTGGGATTTACAGGGCAGTCCCGAACCGGACAATGCAAAGATCAGTTGTCAGGGTTTGAGGTTGCGGAAGGTGGACCCAGATTGCTAATCTACGACGACACCCAAAGTCAAAAATTGGCTAAAACTCCGAGTTCACACCTAAACCCTACGTCTGGCAGCCTGCACCTTTAATCGGCAAAGCCTAGTTGAAGCCCGGAGAACAGGACTTCCAGCATCTGCTGCGCGTCAGGCACCGGGGACCGGCTTTGGGTGGGGTCTTATGCTTCATACTCATGGCATCGGGGTGTGCTTGGGCCTTAGACCTTTCGGTGCTTGCAGGTTTGGGATCATGATTTCATGGAAGGGTAGCCGCCCACGTGTGACCGCCAATGTTCTGCAGCAACGCATGGGGTGCACAGCAGCAAGGTTCGAGAATGAGGTGATTTTTCACGATGCGGTGTGATGTTTAGGCAGGCCTGGAGGAGCGGAAGCCAAGACGAGCACTCTTCTCCTGCCCGTGGACCCCACGCGGTCACCAAGCTGTTAGTTTGGGAAATTGACAAACACAGTTGCCGCATTGCGATTCGCGCTCTCATGCTCTTGAATGCGTAAGAACACAAATCACCCTTTTCTCGTGACCTGCAGCGCCATCAATCTGGCATGCTTTTTGTATGCTCTGAGACATTCTGAGACCCGACTCCCTCACATTCTTAAGCACCACCGTCTGTTCAACCGGGGCCCAACGTCCGAAAGCCTCAGCTCTGAATCCTAAATCCCCAGCCGATACTTGTTGGGCGACAAGTTCAAGTGTTCAGGGAAGCACCATCTTTGGAGGAAACCCGAAGACGATCCTGAGCAAAGACAGGCTGGCTTGGAAGTTGGGGGCTTTGCTTGCTTGTTTAGAAGAGGAGTGGTTCTGGGCGAGTAGGAGTGTAGGGTCTCAGGTTTGGAGCTGGAGGTTTTGTGCATCTTCTTGTGCGTCAGGCCTTTCAGGGCCTTTCAGAGCGTCGGCACCTTTGAAATACGTATGAATATCTCAACACACATGTATATATATATATATAGCTACCCCAAGGGCTTGATAAGTTCGTCTGGCCGGTCACACAGCAATTGGGTTGATGTCGGGTTATTGAGGTTGAAAGGCACGTAAGTGTCAAGCCCCGCTCATGAACCGCCTTTGTAGCCAAGTGTTCAGATTGGCAAGGAATCCTTGGTCTTCGGACCGTGTGGATTTCTTCTCTGAAGGGATGGTCATGGGATTCACATGTTTGTGCGCAATCTGAAAACTTGTTCCGTATGGGAAGCTCGAACCGTGTTGGAATCAGGCGAAAACCTTCAACGTGCCGGAAATTCATGACCAAAAACTTCAAGCCTCGAACCCCAAATTGCTGAGCCTTTTCGGCCATCGAACTGAAACCCCAGTGAGGTGCTGCTGAATCTAGCTACCTCAGACTTCGCTGGGCTGGACCCTGCACTGGCCGAGCAGCTTGGAAGTGACTCGTAGGTGAAGTTTTGGGGGGTTTTGTTATCTTTTTTGTTTTCGTGTTTTGTATTTGTTGGGGGGGCGGGGGGTTGGGGGTTCGCCACAATTGAATTCAAATCAGGCTTTGATGTTGCGGATTTTTTGTGCTACGTGCACAACGATCAATGGGCCCTAAATTGTTAAAGGGTTTCCTTTTTGCAAGGTTCGGCTATTGATGTTTAGGGCTTCGGGGCCGCTGGGTAGAGGGCCAAAGGGGATTGGCAGTGTCTGCGATGTAGCAGCATATGGACCGTGGACCTCAGCCAGCACCCAAGCCGGAGCACCGAATTGGTCGAAGCTTTAGGTATGATGGGGCCTTGGTGTTGAAGAAACGACGGTGCTCGTGCAGGTTTCTGCAGAAGCATGGAGCATCCGTCGCAGCTGGGCAGAGACAAATGGGAATGTTGCAGTTGTGCTGTTTCAACACACTTGTGCCCTACTCTCGGTTCGGGTGGTTAGTGTGAACTGAGGCAGACAATCCCGCATAGTATCTCTGAAGCATACCCGAGACAATCACGCCGAGATTCCCGCAGATTCTCCCAGAGCAGAGACTCCTGCATAGTATCCATGCCGTGCAGAGAATCCGGTAGAACCATAGGATGTCCACAGTTTCGGCTGGGAATGTTGGACGCATGTCAGCTACAATGCTGTGCGCCATGTCGCCATGTCTGAGCCATATCGCAATTTCTGAGCCAAAAGAAGTCAAAGCAAGCCTCTTCTCGGCTTAATGGTTTTTCCGTAGGTTCGGCATTCGTGGCTTCTTTAGTTCAAATCAGCAGTTCTCCCTTGACTTGCTGCATCGGTTTGCTCTAAACCTGAGTTTAATGTCTGCTACGACTTAAAAATGCTTGGAAATCCAGGGACACTGACACTTGAATACATTCCCGATAAAAGGCCGTTACAAGAAAGCGCCCCTTTGCCAGAACTCAACCTCAACAGCCTGCCGCCCTCAAACCCCAAATTTCCAAAATACCGCGGAACCCATGAAAGCTCCAGCTTGTCAAAGGAGACGGTCCATGTGCCGCGCCATGGTGCCCTCACGCCTGTGCAACTGCGGAGTTTCTCGAGGTCGGTGAGGTTCTGGGTTTACACTTTAGGATTTGCATGCCCTTACAGATCCCAAAGCCCTAAACCATTTGTCAGATGTTTGGAAGCCTGACAGTCAGACATTGGGACATTCAGACATTCAAATATTCACTGGTAAGCTGTCTGCGCGTTCCGGACTTGAAGAGTGAGCTTCTTAAATTATTGACCGTCTGTTCTGGGGCAAATTCGAGTGTACACTCAGACAGTCCGACATTCAGACGGTCAGACACTAGACATTCAGAAATAGAAGCCATTTTGGGAGTGTCCGGTTGTCGGAGTGTTTGAGTGTCTGACTGCCTGACGGTCTGTTTTTCAGTTTGTGTCCCAGTTGCACGCTCTTTCGAACGATCAGACTTGGGCTTTGTTCCTAAGCTCCGGCACTCGAAGAGCCGTGTCTCGTGACAACGTGATCTGGCTCGGCCGAGTGGTTCCTGTTTGCACGACGGGGGCGTGTGAGCTCAGGTCTATTGAGTCTATTGGGTACCTGAACCGACGTCAGAAATTATTGGCCATTTGCCCATGCAAGGAGGAAGTGCCAGATACCCGGGTGAGGTTGACAGGGCATGGGGGAGCCATACAAGAAAATGCACATCGACGTGTTCACATTGGTTCAAGCAAGAACGACATCCCTGGAAAACAGAGGGTCCCCTGAGCGCCCACGGGACCTGGCAGCCCGTCTGAAAGGGCGCTGTCCCGAAACCCCCGTGCCATACTGTAAGTCAGATCTGCACTTCTACACTTGAGGACAGGAGGAAATGAGTCTTTGTTCAAGAATGGCTGTCCCATTCCGTCCCTGTGGCTTGTTGCTCATCATCTTAAAGGCAAGCTCTCTCGAATGCGTGTTTCAGAACTTCAAGGCAAGCAAATCCAGAAGTCTTGCTAGGCAGTCTTTTCATGCCCTAAACCTTGCATTCCCAACACCTGAACCTGCAGACTTTACCGCCTGCCAGAGCTTGAGAGCCTTGCCTGAGAAATCCCAAGGAAGCCCCAGGCCGCAAAGCTTCACCCATCGAGCTTCAAGCAAAAAGCATTTGAACTCAAACCCTTCAAGATTCAGGCACTGGCCCGTGAAGAACTTGAAATCGTCCTTCGAGCCCCTAAAGCTGACGGAGGCGAGGTATTGAGGCTCTGAGGGTTTAGTGGGGCTTAGGCCGGGGCATGGATGCGCGTGACTCAGCAAGAACCAAGATTGGTGCATTCGTTTTCTTCATGTTTTTCAGCAAGCCGCAGCACACCCCTGCTTGCCCGAGCATCCACTCCATGCCAAGAAGCCGCCAATCGAAAACGCGCTGCCGTGGAAAACGCGCACTTTTGCGTGGGCGTGAAGCGATGCTGCCTGGTGCGGCCGTGCGCATCCCGCAGATTAGGCGCTGTGCTGACGCAACGCAGTGGCCAGCGCCGCTTGCGCTGCGTTGCCACCCCTTGCCAGTGTTCATGTGGAGCAGCTGTGTGCTCCTCGAGAAGCAGGTTGTGTCAGTGTGTCAGTCTCTGTGTGTCTGTGTGTGTGTGTGTGTGTGTGTGTGTGTGTCTGTGTGTCACAGTGTGTGCCCGTGTGTGTCGCAGTGTGGGTGTCAGTGCCAGGCCCTGAAAGTTTCGAGTGTCTTGCCAGCCGACTGACAGCCTTTACCGCAACGGCAGCACGTGGGATTCATGTGCAAGGGTGGATCCAATTACCGGACGATGTGTGGTTTCATGTTCCAAATGCACGTGAACAGGGTATGAGTGGCGCTACAATGAAAGCTCATGAAAGCTCGTGGTGTGAAGACGATCGAACTTGGGACTGGCGCGACAATGATTACAGCTCGTGGCATGACCCATATGGACAGTGCAATTCCCTACAAGCAAGTCACGTCGGCTAGGTCGGACAGGACACAGACAGTGGAAGTCCAAGTCCTCAAAGATCTCTTCTCATGAAGGGGCGAGTGTTTGTTTGTGTTTGTGTGTGTGTGTATGAAACTCTTGTCACCAATCGTATGTCGTTCATAGCTACAGGGGAGCAAGAGCCTGTTACCGCCCACTGCCCAACGAAGACGGCAGCAACAAGGCTGTGAAGCCATCCGGGACGCTGGGTCAAAACTTCAAGAACGTTTGAGAGTTTGACAGTTGAGGATGCTGCGTGACATCGATCAGGTGACAAGACAGTTTACCGCTCAGTCGGTAGTGCCAGAATGTCTGCAAGTAGTACCAGATGATTGGACAGTACACTGTTGATCAGTATTGCCGAATTTGGCCCAGTATGGAGATCAACACAAGTGTAAGCGTAAACGTGTGTGGTGTGTGTAAAAGTGTGTGTGCTTGTGTGCTTGTGTGCTTGTGTGCTTGTGTGCTTGTGTGCTTGTGTGCTTGTGTGCTTGTGTGCTTGTGTGCTTGTGTGCTTGTGTGCTGGTGTGCTTGTGTGCTTGTGTGCTTGTGTGCTTGTGTGCTTGTGTGCTTGTGTGCTTGTGTGCTTGTGTGCTTGTGTGCTTGTGTGCTTGTGTGCTTGTGTGCTTGTGTGCTTGTGTGCTTGTGTGCTTGTGTGCTTGTGTGCTTGTGTGCTTGTGTGCTTGGGCGTTTGTGTGCTTGTGTGCTTTTGTGCTTGTCTGTTTGTGTGTTTGGGCGTTTGTGTGTTTGTGTGTTTGGGTGTTTGTGTTTGTGTGTTTCTGTCGTTAGCCATGCAGTTGGCTCCAAGAGGTCTTCGCTGGTACTGCCTTGCGCTAAACTGGGCTGCTGGGGTGCCTGGTCAGAGCCCCGGCAGTGGCAGCTGCCTCGACGCTTGCTAACGCTCCCAGAACGCGCTTGCCGCTTGCCTGATTGGCGACAGTTGGACTCTCCGGTGCCCCTTTCTGCAGCAGCCGGGGAACTTTGGCTGCGCTCCGTTTGCTGGAGCGTTGGTTGAGCCTCCCGCTTTTTCTCTCTTCAGAAACATCACGGTCCTGCTCCGCCTGCTACCCCCCTTATGTGATGCTGTTAACGACAGATCACGCAGGGAGCTGCCCGTGCAGTGGGACCGCGCCAACCGGCTCCGTTCGGTGCTTGTGGTTTTCGCCCTTGACGCCCTGATGACATGGGCGCCCGCTGGCCTGCCTGGCGTACCTAGCAGAGCATGGCGAAACTCGCGGCTTGCAGTTCATTCATTTGTTGCTGATGCCAGTGTTGGAACTAGAATGTTTGGGTGATCCCTATCCCAAGCCCTTTGGGGCTGACCCCCCTCGCCTGCACAAACCCAACCAACTCCCGTGCACCGGTAGCCACAACTCCAGGCCCTCAAGACGGCCTACACTGAGTTGTTGCGCCGGGCTGAGGCAGGGTTGAGGTTGACGGTTGAGAAGGGTTCGTGGCTCAAGAGGCGCAGCCAAGGCCCCCGGGCCACACGCTTTCAAGCCGAAGCTTCCGTCCTTTTGATTCTTCAGGGCTTGGCCGCTGAAAATGCTGTCAAGACTCATGCGCCAACGCTACTCCAAACACGAACGAGTGCAAGCACAAACGGACATTATGCCGGCATAGACCCCACATAGCCACCCAGTTCCAGCGTTTTCCAGAGCCTTAAAATCGACGACAGTTTTGCATGCACAAGGACAGCAAAATTCAAACCCCCTTCGAACGGATGCATCAAATGCAGGTGCCTGACATGTTTTGATGTAAGCCTCAGAAGTTTTGGACAACCACGCAAGGTGCACCGGACCAAGGCCAGAGCGCGATTTGGAGATTGTGTTTGGCCTTTGGGTATTTGCATGTGCTTAAATCTTTACGCGTTTTTTTTGTTGTTTGGTTGATTGCGTTCATTCGTTTGTTTTTGTTTGTAGTGTTGTTACTTGGTAGGCTTCTTGTTTGTTGTTTTTTAATGATTTTGCTCGGAACCATGCGTATCAGCTGGCAACTCGATTTGAGTGATATCATCAGTGATATCGCGTAATTCAACGTTTAACAAATTGTACGTTGCATATGTGTTCTACTTGTTGATTGATTGCTACGATGACCGTTTGAGTGAAAAAAAAAGTATTCATCCCTGTTTTCGCGACACGTTTCGGTGCAAACTGCAAGAGTTGAGCGGGGCCTCGTCGCGAGCAGAATATCGAGCATGGAATGTGCACGGGACCTAAGCGAGAGCGCGACCTGGCACTCGTCGTGAGGCGGACAACGTGCTATTTGTGACGTTGTCCATGCCGTCTGACGTTTGCGGGTCCCAAACTGCGCATGGCTCCTAGGCGAGAATGCCCAGAGCGCCATCGTTCGCGGTTCGAAATGTGTAGACACCCACAAACGTTCGGTGGCGTTTTGGGTCCAAGTTGTCATTGCTTTCAACATCAATAGGAACTCCAAAGTGCATGCACTACATACAGTTACATGTCACCGGGCGATTCTGGAAGACGTCAGTCAGGTCAGGAGTCAGGGGTGTCAATCATCAATGCTAGGTTTTTTGGGAGCTTCAGGGTCGTAATTGCATTGCGGGGTCATGGACGAACCTGAGCCTCATAGACGCAACTGCCAGGAGGTGGCGCAGGGAGCCTCTGGCTGCATCATCGCCCGACGGAAAGAAGAGCAGAAGGCTGTCCAGGGTGGGATGACATTTCACTTATAACCCTATACAATGCCCGAAGACCCCCAAAAGTCTTGAAACACTAACTTCCCACTCCCCAAAAACCAAAGTCCTAAGCCCAAACAAAGAAGCTCACGAAACCTTCCGATGGGCGAAGCTTGCGCGGCAGGCGGAATTCGATATCTTGGCCACTGCGAGGTCGGAGGTCAGTGAGGCTGAGCCATTGAGGCTGGATCGCGGTTTACGTTGTAGACTTCAGGTGAGGGCTTCTTTGAGAATTTAGAGGGAGAGAGAGAGAGAGAGAGAGAGAGCCCAATGAAAGAAAGAAAGAAAGAAAGAGAAAGAGAGAGACAGAGAAAACCAAGGCCCTCCTCAACAGAGGGGGGTTAGGTGCGCAGAAAGAAAAACAGAAAGAGAGAGAGAGAGAGAGAGAGATGCAGGGCGACAGTCTCACTCTGACTCAGACAAGACTTGGGCGCGCCTTGCGCGCGGAGGGTGCTTGCGCGCCCTTCATGCCCCGAAGAAGAAGAAGAAGAAGAAGAAGAAGAAGAAGAAGAAGAAGAAGAAGAAGAAGAAGAAGAAGAAGAAGAAGAAGAAGAAGAAGAAGAAGAAGAAGAAGAAGAAGAGAGATGGGGTGAGATGGGGAGAGAGCTGGGCTGGGGAGAGAGAGAGGAGAGATGGGAGAGAGGGAAAGAGACAGAAAGAGAGAGAGAGAGAGAGATAGTCAGCGGGGGCCTTCGGGTCCCTAAGCCCAGCAGAAGAAGAAGATAGTCAGTCTGAAGCTTTAAGTTTTTGTTGGCAGCACTGAAGCCCCTAAAGATGCTGGCGGTGGTCCATGGGACGGCACGGGACTTGTACGGGATGGGCGGGGGGGTGGCCCTGTGGTCGTTGTAAGTCTTGGGGCCTCAATCGTAGTGCTATCTGTCAAGCGTCTTCATTTCTCATCTGTCCTCTTCTTTTGGACAACAAAACAACCGTGTCTGCGGCAGGAATGGCGAAGCGAGCTCGCCAAAAATCCCTGTTTTGAGTGTTGGGGTGACAATCGTAGTTCCAGCATGTTCCAGCGGCGGCATGTGTTTTCATCTCATTTGGGGGAACTCTCCGACCTGACCGTGCACCGGACCATTGGTGAGGAGAGGTCACGGATGGTCTACTGCCTTAACGGTTCCACAGCTCCACTCTGAGTCGCCGCTCCAGCTCGAAATCCAGTCAAGATGAGTTCATCCGCCTTGCGAGTCACTCTTTGCCAGCCCTCTTCGGGGTTGTGGGACAGCGTCCGGACGAGTCTCAAGCTTAGTCTGAGCCTCGCGCAGTTGCCGATAACATTTATTTGACATCCTCCTCCTCCTCCTCCAGCTGTCCCTCTTCACACCACTCAAGACATTCCCGCATCTTGAAGTCTCAACTCTGCTTCCACCCACGTATCTTGAGCAACACAAGAGCTCAACCACGAAGTCGTGGGATCTGAATGCCCAAAGATGTCGCCCCCTGAACCATAGGGACTTCCAAACCACCCACGGCAATCTCATCGCCCGCGCGTAATTCCAACGCCTCGCTCGCCAAAACTGTCTGGCTTTTTGTACCCCAAGTAGGTTTTATTTATCACAGCCTGAATGCGCTCCGCCACTTCTTTTTCGCCAACCAAAAAGCCATCATCCAAACGCATTGCAAGAAATCAACGACCTTTGGGGTTGCTCTCCTGAACAATCTTCCGCAGCCCAGCATAATGTTCCAAGCAAGGTACCAGGTACTAGTCCCAAGCATTTTTTTTAGCAAAGGTGGGTGCCTCAAAATCATCATTTCAGACTCATCAAGAACAGAAATCAAGAATTGTCAGACCCATCAAAGTTTCCGCGAACAGGCGCCCTGCCCGTGCAGATAGCTTGCTCCAGACTGATTGCACGCCAGTTAAATTTTCGGATCAAAACCTGCTCCTCAGGGGCCGCACAAACTGCATTGTAACACCATCATCCAATCTGATCTGCAACTGACGGAGCAACAGTACTGGGAACCATCGTAGGAATCCTTGCGCGCACCAGCTGAGGCAGGATTTGTACTGTACGTCTGTGAAGCCGCTTTGTACTTCTTGCCTTTCAATCCTTCCAAGGCGTGTGCCCAGGCTTCGATGGCTTCCCATCTGTCCTGTCCCTGCGGGAACAGGAGCAGCTGGTCCACAACCGGTGGCGGTGACTGCCCACGCTCATGACGCTGCCACCGCTGCAAGCAGTGCCCTTTGCGCTTCAACACCACATGCTTTGGGATTGTGGTTCATTGTTCATGTCCTTTGCAGGACATCCTGAGAAATCGTAAACGAAGATGGCTCAGCTTCAGGCATCTCGTGCAGGCCCGGCTTGTGATCCCACGGTGGGGCCCCTGGTTGTCTGCTCAAAACACACATTAAGGACTCTGAAGGACTATCGCTGTAGCTGGTCGGCTTGAAGGACTGTTCAAGAACATGGTTATAGCAGATTCAGTCCGGCTTCATGAAATCCTCGGTAAGTTTCTCGCCTCCTTCGGAAAATGTCTCGTGGATCTTGCATTTCCCACCTTCCGTTGCGCCAGCATCAGAACCTGGCCACGCCGACGACGACGTAAACTTCCACGCAGTCCACACTGCGCCGTGCCACTACGCTGTGAGCACTCCCTGCGAACAGCAACCAGCAAGTTTAACGCATCCTGATTCCCATCCTAGGCGGGCTAGGACAAAGGAGCCGGCGGCGAGCGGGCGTGTTGGCAACTAGTGCACTGGGTGCAGTTGGGTGCATTTTCAAACCAAATGTTAGAAAGTGGTTCTGTCTTACCCATAGCACGCGCACTGGGCAAGTGGCATTCGCTGCCCTTCCTGCTGCACTGCGCGTGCAAAATCCTCGGACGTACCGGTCAGAACACTAACCACGTGTCGCACGGCTTCAGAGTCCAACTCAGATTCGCCTTTTTAGCCCGAACTTTGCTGTTCAGCACTCCGACAGCACTCCTTGCGAGTGAACTCAACTCGTTACGAGGTAGCACCCCTGCACGGTGTGCCTTTCAACAAGTCAGCTGTAGGCCGCGTGCCGGTCCGAGCAAATGGCTCCTTGGAGTGTTCCCGAATCCATAGTTTCCGCAAGACTTGGTTCTACAGGTTTTCAAGAGAGGCCGCAAACGGATGGATGCTATTATTTGGGACAATAAAACGACCATGTGCGCAGCAGGAATGGCGAAGCGAGCTCGCAGAATGACTGAGCAACACACTCCTGAACTCCCGTTTAAGGTGTTGGGGCCACAATCGTAGTTCCAGCGGCGGCATGTGTTTTCATCTCATCTGGATACTGTCTACGATAGAAGAGGACCGAAAATCGGTCCTCTTCCTTGGGGGAATACAACGACCTTGTTTGACATGTGGTTTCCGGTTCGGCCTGGTTCAGACATTGGGGCTGTAGTTTCTGTTTGCGTTCTGTGGAGCGCGTTGGTCTCATTCTTAACATATAGGTGAATGCCCCAGATAGGCTTCTTTGCAGTGCTTGTAGGGAAGAGAGCCATCGCTCGGAGCCACACTCAAGAAGAAGTTTCTGCAGATCTCCGAAGCCCTCAGAAGCGCCTCAGAGGCATCCCACCATGGCTGCCATTGGCGCAGTGGCGGCGCGTGCCAAGGCTGCTTCGGACACGAAGCGCCCGAGGGAGGAGGAGGAGTGCCCTGACGGCCGCATGTCAGGGCTCAGGTGAAAAGAGGGTGATGCTGATGCTGTGGTGAATGGTATTATATTGCTAGTTGGGTTGATTGAGGTGTGAAGACCCAAGCTGCGGCCCTGCTCAGGTACTTGTGCTACGACTGTGAGGTCGTGCTCACCCATGAGCCGTGTGTCATGTGTGCTATGGCGCTGGTCCACTCACGTGTGCGCGTAGTTGCTTTCCATAGAGTTGATTCCCATTTCGGTGGGCTTGGTGGGGCCATCTCCCTTCACCAGTGTGCTAGCTTGAACCATCAATTTCGCGTGTTGCGATGGGAAGCAAAGGCGACCTCATGCAACCTCCCGACGGGGTGCTGTGCAGGCAGCCGGCCTTAGTTTAGGACTGTTTGGTTGCCAGGGTGTCAGCCTTCATTTCATGTGCCGGTGACCGCGGCATGAATGACATGGCCAGATGGACAGCATGTTAGCCGACGCAAGCAAATGCAAGCACACAAGGATAGGATTGCAGGTGCGGAGTCAAACTTGGTAGGGGCTCTTTACAGTGCCAGTTTCATGATTTGGCATACTTGCCTCTGCGCCCCGTACCACTATGCGCCACCATGCGCCACCTGCCTATCCCAGTACGTGGGCACCTAGTTGAGAGCCACATGGCATCCCGACTGTGATCTGGTCCATGGCTGAAGGCAGGGAGAACACGACATGAGAACTCTGTGTTCAGTCCAGGTTCGACCGTTCAGGGTTTTGGCGGCTTGGTAATGAGGCCTATGTATTAAAAGGACGTGCAGATGAATGGACCACTCAACAGTCCAACAGCAATCTCAGCGTGAGTCATGATGACGAGTATTTGTACAAGTCCGAAAGGGCCAGGTTCCTATTAGAAGCCTTGCGCACGTCCTCGAGCCGTCCCAGCTTCAAATTGCTGGTAGTTGCCGTTCCTTCCTGTTAGGTTTCTCAATTCCGCAAAATTGTGGTGTATTTTGAAAGGCGCTCTTGGCCGGGAGGTCCATGCTCTGATCACAAAACCTGACAAAGGCCCCCACGTGGTCTCTGTTTCCTTCGGTTATCGGAGTTTGGAGGTTCTTGGGCTTTGGAGGCTTAGACTTCAAAGACAGGGCTGCGCCACCAAGGCTGTGCCACGAAAGAACGGACATTGTGAACCTTCTGTGAGGCCTGAAGTTCTCCTGGGGCAAGAAGGCCGCAGTGGCGGCCGTCCCGAAGCCGACCAGGCGTTGGATATCCGACCGTTGCTCAGGGATGCTGATTCGGATTTCAGGGGCTTTTGACTTCTGGAGCGGTTTTGGAGCTCGGGTCATGCCTAAGCCCCGTCCCTTAGCGAGCTTCTGGCCAGACCCGGGAACTCCGGGATGACCATTGCGCAGGAGCGCTGTTTTTTTTTTGGTTGGTTTGTGTATATTTGTGTGTTTTTTGGGTAGCTGTGGTGGGCTGGGGCTGGGTCTCTTGAGTCTGGAAGGGTTTCGAAGGTCCATCGGCAGTCATAGCCCGGCCGGTATTGAGGGTTGAGGCCTTTTAGCCGTGATTCGCTTAGCGGGCTGAGCATGACAGCTGTGCTGTTGCACTCGCCCAACTCGTCCTGTGCTGCCCTCAGCAATCGTGTACCAACCGACTTGGAATGTGAAACCAGCAGCCTTAGCAAGTTTCACATCTGGTAGTGCGTGAAGTGCTCTTTCTTGTTCCTCCTGGCTCGGACGCTGTTTGCAGTTCAGTTCTTCGCTGATGGGTTGGCAGACACCAATCAATACTTAAAGAAGTACTTAATCGAAAACGCTGCACGCCAACTCCCTTGGCTCCGCCAGAAGGTGTAGAAGAAAGCTCATGGGCTCGAAGATAAGGTCCCGTGTTGCGACAGAGGCTGCGCAGGGGTTGTTCAAGGTGCCCAGAGCTGCGGTGAGGGCGCAGCAAGTTGGCGCATTGGAGGAGTGTGGGGGGGTCGTTACAAAAATCGGGCTGGGCGAGAAGCGGATGCTACACCCCACTGTCTTACAGGGTGGAGAGGGGCGTCGAACTTATAACTTAGAGCCCACACAGGCACGGGGAACCCTAGCAAAACACGCGTGACCTTCAAAGAACCAGGGCTTTTTTACGCCTGCGAACGACCCAGCTAGTGTCGGGAGGTCTAAGTTTTCAGGCGTTCCCAAAATGGTCCTCATAGGTCCGAGGGCCCGGGAGTTCCCTGGAGGGCGGTCGCTGGCTCCAGATCCATTGTCGGCTTCGGGGTTGGGAGCTCATGTACACGTGGTTCGCGGCTCGTGTTCGCGTGGGCGCTTTCCCGAAACCCTCAACCTTAAGCCTAAACCCAAAGCCCTAAATCCAACGACCTGCCCTAAAAACACAACGTTAAATAAGCCGTAAAAGCAACCCTCAAAGCCCCAAACTCTAAACACTCTAAACCCTAAACCCTAAACCCTCAAACCTTAAATCCTAAACCGGCATGCCCTAGACCTTGACCCATAAACCAAAACCTAAATAACACCCTAGGGCTTAGGGCTTAGGGCTTAGGGCTTAGGGCTTAGGGCTTAGGCTTAGTGCTTAGGGCTCGGGGCTTAGGGCTCAGGGCTTAGGGCTTATATAGGGCTTAGGGTGTATGGTTCGAGACCAGAGACTCCACGAAGGCTGGGCCGTCAAGGGCGTTCAAGATCGAACCCTGAGCCCTGAGCCCTGAGCCCTAAGGCCGAAACCCCCTAAACCTTAAACAAATCCGGCGTTTGATGTGCGGATGTGAGGCCTGCGGCTATGGGCAGATACAAAGCGTTTGTAAGAAGTAGTGGCGGGTTGCAAGACCCAAACCGATTCCAAGCGAGTGGCGTGTGGTATCAAAGCTGCTTTCGATTTGTCCAATCCTCGTGGTGTTCGGCGCTTGACCAGGAGGCTGCCGTGAACCTGGGGGAATCTAAGCCGGCCACGCCAGAGGAGGAGGCTCACTTGAAGCTAAGAAGCTTAAGCACTGTGTTCTCTGTGTTCAGGACGCAAAGCCCGCAAGCCGACCGTACACGTTGTACGGGTAGATGCTGTAAACACCCACCTCTGCAGAACCTCTGGCAGAGGAGAAGCGCCGGAAGCGCCTCGAGGCGTGGAAGAAGGCCCAGGCCGAGGAACAGGAGGACGGGGAGGGCTTTGGGGTTGAGGCGGTAGGGCCTATTTATGGCTTCTTATTGGGATTGTCAGGGTTTTTTTGTTCTTGCATGACTCCATTCAAGCTGCTTGTTGAGTTCTATGCCGTTCGTGCAGCAACTTTGGCAGCCACTGTGCAGTACTGTTGGAAGGTGCTCTGTAGTCTGTAGAAACAGCATGGGGCAGGTCTGTAACCCTTGACCAACAATGGCCTGAACTTAACACCTTAACAACAGGGAGAGAATCCCAACATGCCAAGTCACACGCGAGACCCGGAAATTCGAACCCCGAAAGCCTTACGTCCTATCTATGCACCCACAACATCCAAATCTTCCAAGCCTCCTAAACCCTAAACCGCCGAAACTTCCTAAAAAAGTGCAGTCGTTTGGGGAAGGAGAAGGAGGATATCCCGTTGGATGAGCAAGAGCAGAAGATGGCACAAGTTCGGGCGGCACTGAAGGCTGCAGTGCTGTTACAAGTACGCCCTTCAGACCCGGCTCCAAATTCTCAATCCCTGTTTTTCCCTGGGCCTAAATTCTCCTAGAGTCAGGAGGTGAACCAGAGGAACCGTGACCTGGGGGTGCGGAAGAGCAAGAAGAGGCGGAAGTCCTCCAGCTCCAGCGACGATGTCGCGAGGTCAGATTTACGTAATGTGGTCTAGACTTACGTTCAAACATGCTCACGCACGCTTTGCTCTTCAAGAAAGAGTCTTTTTTCGGAAACAAAGAATGGAAAACTGAGATGTCAAAATAGTATCCTGCCCGTGATCCAGGTCATGATCACCTCCACCGACAACACGGACGTCATCATCACGCGCGCGGACGCGAAGCCACGAGGAACGGCGCCAGGCAAGTGCAGCCCTCCTGTGGCCGGAGGCCCCATCGACTTGGATGACGAGGCCCCAGCTGAGACGGTCTCCATGCCGGAGGGTCCCGAAAAAGAGCAGGAGCCCGAGCAGAAACACAAGGAACAGCAGAAGGACAAGGAGAGTGAGGGCCTGACCTTTGTCTGAGCGGGGCAAGGCGGCAAGGCGGCAAGGCGCAGATCACGGAGGATTCTCTTGGAGAGAAGCGCTGAGAGGAGACCCACCCTTGCCGAGGTCGCAGTATTGGTAACATGCTTTCAGTAGCTATACTAGGACCTACTAGGACCTAGTAGGAGTGGAAAGTATGACTGCTATTTCTTGCCACCGCAAGCAGCTGCAGGCATCCCGACCTTGTGCGGCCAACGACATCGCCACCGCAACAGCAGCTGCAGCTACTGAGCTTTCCACCCATTCGATCCTGTCAAGATTCCGAGAGGGTCCAGCTGCCATGCAGAAACGCCGGTGCAGATATATAAAAGCTCGGAGAACCTACTCATCAATATGCACAAGTCACATCCGAGAACATGCTTGAATCACGAGACTCCCACTGTCTCTTCAAACCCCAATCCCAACAGCACATACGTTCGCAGTGCCACATCCGCCGACAGACGCTCCTGCTCCAGAACCATGCAGTAACTTCCAGCTCTCATGGCTGAATGACACCTGAACTACGAACTGTGACAGATGAACGCACACATGAACTTTATCAACAAGGATCGCAGATTCGATTATTCGAAAACCTCATTACACTTTGGAGTCTGCTAACTTGATTAGAAGCGCATCCCTCAAGGCTACAACCATCATGATACGAAACTCGGATCTGGCAGAATATGCTTCGGGGTTGTGCTGTGTTAACGCGAGGGGCAGCTTGCATGTCAGCTTTGGTCCCGGTTTCTGAAGATGCCCGAGAGCCTCAGCTTTGCTTCATGTGCGAGGGCCAATAATGCCAACGGGGTGCGAGTTGTTCGCAATACTCCCCGGGGCTGCGCGGCCGCGAAGAGTGGTGCGTAGCCGAGAGCATGGCAACGCTGGTGCCGCTTGTAAGTCTTTTTTGGCTCAAAGCGCTTCAATCCTCATGTGGAGGTCTACAAGCATGCTGCCTTCTTGTGCTTTGGACCGCATTGAACGCTTGAGCCGCTAGCCCCCAGGGTCCAAGAGGTCCAAGAGGTCCAAGAGTAGTACGAGAGTCTGCGCGATGCCTGGCTTTGCTGGGCTTTCTCTCCTTGGCCCTCGCCAACTCGAGCAACTCGAGCAGCTCAAGCCACGGGGAACGTTGCGAACAGCTCCTTGTCCATACTGCGACATGCAAGTTCAAGGTTGTTTAGCCTTTGTGCGGACTTGTGCGTGATCATCGTTCAGAGCCACGTTATATGCATGCACCCAGAAACACTGCCGGGAACTGGGAACCACACTTCCTGCAAAGCCAGAGCTCGGGGAATGTAGGAAGTGGCACGGCAGTGAGGTCGGACCCGACGGCTTTGCTGCAGAGCCGCAACACGAAGCCGACGCGGTCACTCGGCATTGCGGACATTCGTGACCAAACCAGCTTGTTTCAAGTAGCGCGCCAATGTTCACTATCCCAGCAAGTTTGGGAATCATTGGGATGAGGCACAACATGGAAGTGAGTCCCAGCTTACAAAGATGGTGAAGCGGAGAGGGAGAGGGGAACGCTTCTAAACCCTTCTAAACCCTCCAAAATCCTTCTAAATGCTTCTAAACCCTTCGAAATCCTTCTAAGCCCTTCTGAACTTCTAAACCCTTCTATTATAGCCTGGTAAGCCCTGCAAAAAACTATTTCTAAACCCTTGAAAACCCTTCCAATCCTTTCAAAACACTAAAAACTCTTCGCAACCCTTCTAAACCCTTCCAAGCCCTTCTAAACCCTTCGAAACTTCCTCTAAAGCCTTTTGAAACCCTTCTACAACCCTTCAAAACCCTTCCAGACTCTTCTAAATCCCTTAAAAACCCTCTTAAACCTTCTGCCCAATCTGCCGTAGCTGCCGCTCTTGCAGAAGTCCCTGCAGGCAGTCGACAGAAAGGGGGTAAACGCCGTGATGTCTCTTCAGCAGGGCACGGCGCGGTCACTACTCTGTGCCCTTTGACGTCCAGATCCGTGTAGCACAGCTCAATCTGAGTCGAGACCACCATTCCTGGCGAGAAGCGCTTTCCAAAGCAGTTCCGCTGCAAAGTCAGGGCTGCACAGGTTTGCCGAAGAGTCTTTTGACGACAAACTCAAACCTCGGTAGTGCGCCCCGTGAGCCCTGCATCAAAATCAGTTCGATAATCCGATGAGTGTTGGCAATGCTAGTACACAAGAGTGCAACGTGCGTAGAGCTTCATAAAGTAAACAGCTCATGTGCTTCTCACCGTGCTCACCTGGCCCTCGAACAAAAGGAACGCCATCTGTGCGGAGCCATCTGTGCGGAGGCAGCATTGGCCGAGGCAAGGTCACGGAAGTCAAAGGTAGCTCTACTTGCAATGGCGATGTCTTGGCTTCCCGTTGGCACCTCACAACTTTTGTGTTGTTTTGATCTCACGACTCGCTGTGTATCCTGTCCTGTGTTGAGGGTAACATTGGTGCATGGATCCGGCTGCCCAGGCCCAGCTTCTCACCGCATTCCAGAAACCACGGACTTATTGCCAGCTTTCCAGCCGGCATTGAGTTGGCCCTGTCCAGTGTGTTATGCAGCTTTCTGGAGTCGGGTGGCGGCTTTTGCCGCAGGTCATTTCAGCCTATGCTCCGTAAGATTGCAATATCCCGCCCCAACAATCGTAGAATGGCGCTCAAAAGGGCTCACACAATTGCGTTGTAGGTACGCGCCCTGAAAGGGGGCGGGTCCGGACTCCTATTGTCCGTCCTTCCTAGTTCGGATTCTTTCGGAGTTGCCAGAACACCACTACTTCCTACGCGAGGGGGCGAAATGGCAAACTACCATGCAGGTGGCCACATGCTGCGTTCAGTGCGTTCCAAAGTCGACTAATTGAATCATGCTTCCAAAGACTTAATAGCTGAATGTAACTAACACATGCAATTTGTTTAACTTACCTATGTTCAATTATTCCATTCGTTTGGTTCATTTAGTAAGCCCTTGTTCCCTTCCATTTTTTCAAAGGTTTGAAAGAAAAGAGCGTGAAGTGCATCGCAGCGCCCGACCTCTCCACACGACCATGTGGTGCTGGCGTCGTCCTTGGCGACCGCCTTTCCTTCTTGACAATGGCGATCTTTTTGGCTTCTTGGCAAGCGCGCCGTGCGCGATACCGGCTGGTTCGAACGCACATTTCCAGACATGGCTGGCGCCGAACTGTTGCAAACTTCTTGTTCTCCTTCCCTGAGGTTGAACATACTTGACCGCGCGAATGGGGCTGCGCCTTCTTACTCTCCGTTGATCTGCCTTTCTTTACATACCGATGGTGACACCAGTTTCTGCTGTTGATGCACGATCTTCCAGTTTGACCCAACACATCCGCGATCCTACATGTCACGCTCAAGCCCCTTGGAAGACATAAGAAACCATCCACTGTCAGCTGGCTTTTTGAACGATACCATTTTGGATTTTGCCAGGGACACATGAAGAATATGCTTCCCCCTTTCCCTGGCCAACTTTGGACAATATCACTTTGGGTTTTACCAGGGACATATCAAGAATACGCTCCCACGGTCCCTGGCCAACTTTGAACGATACCGCGAAGAATGCGCGCTCTCCCGTTCTTGAACATGTGCTACATTGAGCCCTGCTCAAGCTATATGGAGAGTCGATTTTCTCGCAGTCGTGTCAAAGTCTTTTGCCGGCCCGCCTTGGGATTGATTTGCCATCTTGCTCTCCCTTGCCCTCACTCTGGCGTGCACAGAGCCTTCAGCGCCGCCCTGACACGTTCAGCCTCCAGGCAAATCCCCGGGTCTACATTGGTTGATGCTGACATACAGCTGGCCTTGCGGTAGACGTTAGGCACACACTTCTGGCCACCACCGCACATTTCCCGTTTCTTGGGACGGACACCTTGTCGGCCGCCTTTTGCCTACCTTTTTGATAGGCTCTTTGGCACAGGTGCTTCAGCGCTGCCATTTTTAAAGGATTGAAGCAGCTGGTGGATCAGCATGATCAGCATATTTGCATTAGGACATGTGCGGTGAGAGGTATAGGCAACAGTTGCCATGTTCAGTTTTGAGTGATGGCTCGTTTGCACAGGTACCTTGCGTGTCTGACCCTACAGCATTGAGTGTGCCATGATACTAGAGTATGACAGACGAGCGCGGAATCACTTTGTCAAAATCTAGCGGCAATTACACCTGATCCGTGTGTGTGTGTGTGTGTGTGTGTGTGTGTGTGTGTGTGTGTGTGTGTGTGTGTGTGTGTGTTTGCTTTTTTGGGGGGTCTTGCGTTGTTTCTTTTCGTACGCATTGTCTTCTATTGTTTTTCGGTTTTACCTGTATTTGCGATTGCCGGCTCTGTTTTGGCCGTCTGCATTGAATTGCGTTGTTTTGTTTTTCGTTTATTTAGCTGCGCCGTATGATTTTGCTTGTGTGCGTTGAAAAAAACGGCATGCTCTTCCTGTCGCACACAATGGTTAGGACGGGGGGGGCGTGGGGGCAGCTGCCGGGGACGCGGCGCATGTGTTTGCTTCGCCTCAATGTGAGTGAATGCGACGCTGGTCCTTTGCTGCTCAAGGCCTTGAGACATAAAGGGTGCCCTGCGATATGCCAGCGTTTGAATAGCCAGAGCCCAGCACACAGAGATGTCAGGTCCGGCCCTGAGAGCGCTGAATGAACGTGATCTGAAAGTCTTGTTTCGAGTGTGCACAGAGCACGTGACACGCGTAATGTTCTCAGGTGGGCGTTCCTGGGCGTGCATCCGTTAATGGCACGGCTCCTGGTCGGGACAGCAGTCAGGAGTTCGGTCAAGCTCAGCGACAGAGGGTTTCTTAAGCTAAAACCAAACGGCCTCGACAGAGCATCGTGGAAGCCGTTTTGGCCTGGAAGCCTCCACCACTAGCCTCGCACGCGTGCTTCGCGCAGCAGCCCTTGAGTTTGCAGCAATCGGACAGTGCTGTGGACGGTGGCACTGTTGTTCGACTCACGGCGGGCGGCCCTTTGAATGATGGTTTGTTTGGCCCCTGCAATCCAGGCGGAAACACGCCTTGTAAGGTAC